ACCCAATCTAGCATTTCACCCACCCAGTACAGCGCTTCGTGGTCCCATCGGAAACTCCACCGAAGCCCTCAAAGGGACCGCCCGCATGCGTCCTGCACACGCCGTTTGACATTTTCATCCACCCAGTGCAGCGCTTCGTGGCCCCAATACGGAGCTCCACCGACGGCCCCAGTGGGTCCGCCCACATGCGTCCTACACACCCAATTTGGCAGTTTCACCCACCCTGTAAGTACATCGCTTCGTGGCCCCCAAAAAGAGCTCCACCGATGCCCCCAGTGGAGCCGTCCGCGTGCGTCCCGGGAACATAATTTTGCATTTTTACACACCCATTACAGCGATTCGTGGCCCCATAAGGGAGCTCCACGTAAGGCCCCCGCTGGGACCGTCCGCATGCGCCCCGCACGCCCAACTTGGCATTTTCACCCACCCATTACAGCGCTTCGTGGCCCCATAGGGAGCTCCACCGACGGCCCCAGTGCGACCGCCCGCATGCGTTCCCCCCACCCAGTGTAGCGCTTCGAGGCCCCATAGGGAGCTTCACCGAAGAACAGATTCACAATTGCGGTACCCACAAGTGCATACAGTTGGGTTCTTCGGCAGGATAATTGATGACGTGACCACCTGGAGCCTGGCCCCTTTTCCCGGGGACCAGTTGTTCATCCTGATTCGTTTTTGACAAACCCGAGGCCTGGCGAGGGCCCCTGGAGGCAGAAAATAACGAAAAACCTCCAGTCGTGATGTTTGCACAACGCGAGGAGGTCGGGGTAAGTGGCGCCCCCCGGCCCCGTTCAACAACTCGCCTCCGTCTTCTACTAGACCCCCCGCGCGCACCCGCCCTGCGCGATGGCAGCCCCGGCCGCCTGGCCCCTCTGGGGCCTCGTGGCCGCGCTGCTGCACGCGGCCCTGGCGTGCTGGGGGGGGTCAACAAAGGTGGCCGCTGCAGTCAACGCGCATAAGAAGGATGGGAATCCCCCAAGGGTGCCCATCGCGTCCTTGCCTCCTCGGTCCATCCTTGGCCACTTTCGTTGGCCGCGCCCCGCTCGAGAAACTTGCGTCGAAGGCCCATACATCCTTATCGCGCATCCGTACGATACGGGCCGACGGTACGCCACGGACATCTCCCAGGGTACGCTCTGACCAGGAAGTTCGAAGGCCATCCGGCCGTGGCGCCGAGAGCCGTCCTGTACGCTACGAGTATATGCTCCTCGGGGGCGGACAGGACCCTCACCCTGACTCGATTTGTGAATTGTCTGCTTTCGGTTCTCGAGGGCGCCGCGGCCGTCACTTTCCAGGCTTGCGGCACCCAGGTTTGGGCCCGAGGTCGTTTTTTCCTAAACCAGGTTTTGCTACAGGGGGTTCTGTCCGTCCCCGAATTCGTCACCCGAGGCCTCGACCGCCACCGCCGCCCCCGCGCGGGGCCTCCCTGCCGCGGATGGCGCCGCACCACCGGGGCACGCCGCGGCGAGCGCCGCGGCCGTGGCGGAGCGCGACGAGGACGAGGGCGAGGCCCGTCGGTGAAGCCGCATTGTCCCCTGTCCCTGGCCGGGCCCATGCAGGGCCCAGGAGCGGTCTGCATGCCTCCCGGGCCAAGCCAGGAGGGCGTCTGCACCGGCGACGGTGTCAGATCCCCGCAGGGCGGACGGGAGAGATCCCGACAGACCCGTTCAGATCCCAACATCGGGAGCGGTTCAGATCCCAACGGGCGGAAAACCATTTTGCAATTTTGTGCATAAAGATACTCACCTGATTATCGTGGCGGTGAGAACCAACTGGTCTCCCTTAGAGGACGTCGTTCGTTTTTCATCGTGCGCCGTTGGGATCTTGACCAGGCCGCCCCATGTAGGTTCAAATCACCCCAAGACGGCGACGTGAACCCAACGTGCATTACGCCATATACCCAACGCGTAGCACGCACAATCTTTGTACGAAACGTATTTTATGCGCCGCCGAAACGTATGTGGCACGTATATGAGCTTGTATGAAACACACATGGGACGAGTGTGGCACGCACTGGGCACGTTACAGGACGTATACGACATGTGTCTGAAATGTGTATGGGAAGTATCGGAATCGTACGCGGACCTTGTATGAAACGTATAGGGCACGTCTGCATGTATATATGACACGCGTAGTATCGTTGTGTGCATCATATCGGCGCACGAGAGACAAACCAATTTCGCATAAAAAGGTATAGCCAGCGGGTTTGAACCACATATGGACTCATATTCAAAACGTGTACGGAGCTTACATGAACGTATAGGCATGCATACGAAACGCTTACAAATCGTAGGTTCCACTCGTTTGACTCCCCGAACGAAACGCATTCGGAAGAAGAGTGGTGTGTATATATATATATATATATATACACGACACGTATGGGAAACGTGGGTGGCACACGTATGGAACAAATCAGCCCCCTTTTTATGATTTGTAAGATACGCGTGTCAGGAACCGATTCGAAACGCAAATGTCTACATGTACGAAACGTATACGGCGCGTATAGCCATATATGTATACACGCACAACGTGTGCGAAACATGTTCAGAACGTATTCGGTGCGTATTTGGAGCACGCATCCAACGCATTTGAAGCGCATGCGAAACGAATGAAATGCACATGGGACGCAGTTTAAACTAATACTGTCGCATGTGAAGCGTAAGCGCAGGTACTAGACGTATAACTAACGCCCATGGTAATCTACGACACGCAAGGCAACGCACGCGAAACACTTCCAACGCGTACCCAAATAGTATACGGAGCACATACAGCACAGACGCAACACAATTACGACACATATGCATACGGCACGTATACGGAACGCTGTCTGGAAATATGCCGTAACGTATACGAAACGTGTTCGATACGATGGTTAATTTTATGCAGAACAGTTGCGACAAGCAGACGTAACATATGCGACACATGTACGAAACGCCGACAACACGTCCACGGAAATCATACGACACGATTCGGAATCCGAATCCGAGGTTGCTCACAACTTGTTCAACATGTTTACGACGCGAGTATACATCGTACGGAATGCGTTTAAGCATCCGTCGTGTATACCGCACGTGCACTGCACGTGCCAACACGCTCCCTCGCAACACGTGCCCGAAAACGATTACGGCTAGTGCGCGAAACGATTGCAAACCGCCCGCACGATGTATCAGCATAGCGCTACAATACTCGAAACGTAAATGCCGCGTGTCTCAACGGCTTACAAGTCGCTTACAACGTGTATGCAAGTAGTAAACGACATAGAAAAGGCGCAACGCATGCCAACGGTATGTTTTTTGTCCACAACTACAGAACGCCTTCGACACGCATACCAAACGCAAACGGGATGTACACAACACGTGAACGTAGTTCACGCGTTGCGCATGCAAAACGTATACAAGCCACATCTACATATTTATATACATACATATAACGGAATTGAAAGGCATGTTCAGCAGTCCTCAGGGACTTTTGCCCAGGAGTCCTTGAGCAATCCTTCGGAATCCCAAGGAATCGTGTATGAATCCTGTGGAGTTCGATTCGGAGGTCCTCAGGGATCCCCAGGCATCCTCCCAGAAATCTTTCGGGGATCCTCAGGGAGACTCAGGGAATCTTCAGCGATCCTGCAGGAAACCATTCCGAAACGCTCAGGAATCCTAGGGAACCCGAAGGCATCGTTCAGGGATCCCAAGGGAAGCTTCACACATTCTTCAGGGATCCCGGGGACCCGAAAGGAATCCAGCAGGAATCCATGAGGAAACATCCGGATTGTTCCTGTGGCTTTCAGGAATCAGTCAGACATGATCGTGAGTTGTCGGGAATATGTATTGGGAAAACCTTCGGGAATCCTTCAGAAAGCTGAAGAGGAATCCCCAGCGATGGCGAGGAGGCGCTGTATAGTAGGCGCCCATGTGGCGCTTGAAGCGCCTGGAAGCTTGAGTAATGACCGTTGGACTCTGAACCGCTCCTGTGTTCACATCCGCTGTGGTTGAGCCAGCCATCTAGGAGCTGGCCCATCCCGTGGAGATCTGAACGTTTGCCGTGTGCGCCGACCCTGACTTCAGCATGGGCCAGGCCGTGGGCATCGTAGGTGTGCGTAGACCTCGTCGCCTTACAGATGGGCGTCTGGAGGATTTTCTCACCGTCTTCGGCCTCGAGGGGCCCTTCCCTCCAGGCTTCCCGATCGGGGCCCGCGCAGACGGGGTCCGAGGACCGCGTGGCATCGCCGAGGCATCGGCGATGCGATGCGACGTGGATCCCGATTTGCTCTCTACGCCAACGGTGCCCACGCGTCGCCGACGTCGCCGATGCATCGAAGGTGCGGCGCCCCGTTTGCGAGGCGTCTCTCCCCAGGCTCTCGGCTTGGCATCGCTCGGACGTGTGCATGTTTCTTTCGGCGAGGAACATCGAGGAGCAGCCTTGATCATCTGGCGGAAAAAAAACACGCACGAAACCAAAAAAAACACAGGGAAGGGATGTCCGAGCGATGGCCAGCTCGGGGACTGCCGACAAACACCTCAGGAAGAGGATCCCTGACATCGACGATGTGGTAGTTCTGCTCAATCGGCGACCCAAGGGGTCCCGACCATTCCCCCCCCCTTCCCCAACTTTTCCGCCCCATCCCGAGCCGATTTTTGAGAGACCGAAAACTGGCAAAGACCTCCCGTCGTGACCTTGTCGCGAAGATAGGAGTTCGGGGGGGAGGTCTGGGACGTAGGACTGGGCCCGTGGGGGCGGGGAGACCCCCCGGGTCGAGGGCGAAAACAATGGCCATGTCCGCGGCCTCGAGGGCCGCCAGGCCCCTGGGCCGCAATTCGCGGACACGGGCCGTTTTTTCGCGGAGCGTATCTTCGCGGAGGGAGGGGGTGAGGGAGGTGGTGGTGGCGTATACCTTTGGGCCCCGTAGAAGACCTCCCAGCAGTTGTCTCCCTAACCGCGAGGGCGTGTGGACATGGATCGGGACTCGGGACCGGGCGGGGGACCCGCTCCCATCCCCGAGCCCCGAGGCCAGCGCGCTGTGGCAGAAGGGCCGCGCGCGGGCCATGTCCTCGAGGCCCCTGTGGGCGCGGAGCGACCACAGCCTGACCGAGCCGGACGAGGCCGACCTGCTCGCGGTCCGCGGGGGCAAGAACGATTTTGAGATTTAGGTGAGCGTGTTTTTGTGTCTCCTCCCCAGGGCAAAGTTCGTTTATCGAGGGCAACTCCTCCTCCTCCTCCTCCTCCTCCTCCTCCTCCTCCTCCTCCTCCTCCTCCTCCTCCTCCTCCTCCTCCTCCTCCTCCTCCTCCTCCCGTCCTCCTCTCCTCCTCCTCTCTCCTCCCCAACTCTCTTCCTCTCTTCTCCTTCTCCTTCCTCCTTCTCCGCCTCCCCCTGCGCCTTCCTCTCCTCCTCCTCCTCCTCCTCTTCTTCTCCTCGTCCTCCTCTACTCCTCTTCCTTCTCCTCCTCCTCCCCTTATTCCTCCTCCTCCCCCTCCCCCCTCCTCCTCCTCCTCCCCCTGCTTCTCCTCATCCTCCTCCTTCTCCTCATCCGCACCCTCCTCCTCCTCCTCCTCCTTCTTCTCCTCCGCTTCCTCATCTCCCCTGGGTAATGCTTACGATCATACTGGGGGGGGGGTCTGGACTCCCCGCCGTACATGTTGTGGTTTACGCAGGCGATTGATGCACCGGTGGCGCGGCCGCACCCCAGCGGGTGCACGCCGCGGCCGCCGTTACAATTACCCTCCCAACCGACCCGCCCTCCCTCCCCCAGGTAACGACCGTCACTCGGGAATGAAAACAACAAGGTCAAGGTCTTGGCGCCCCAAGTTGTTCGAGCAGGGCGTTTGCGTGCTTTTGTTCGATCCCTGGGGCCCTCGCAGATCGAAGTGGTCCGGAAAAGACGAAAGACGGTGTCTAGGGTTAAGTCGGGCCTGTCCCTCTACACGGGGAATATTCAAAAATAATAGAAACATCGTCTGGGGACTATTTTGGGGGGTATTTTGTTGCATTCTGGAGCATGTCTTGGATATTTGCTATTTTTCGTTAAAATTCCATCTGTAGGGGGACACGCCCGACTTAAGTCTAGGGCTCCAGGCGTGATTTGCCACAACGTCGTCATGTTTCCGCCGCGTCGGATCTCAATGGGGGCGCACAAGCGCCGCCTCTGGCCACGCCCAGGGGTCTCCGACGAGAGATGCCCGTCTTCGCGTGGGGTCCGAGTGCTTGTCTGCCTCGGAGACGGCCTCTCGGGGCCCCGCTTTCCAACGAGCACAGTCGGGACCCTCGGGGGCCGCGCGCGGGGAAAAGTCACGTCATCCACCACCACTACCATGGGTCGGACGGGGGAGTAGGAAGGCCGGGGAGGTCCGCCTCCTCCTCCTCCTCCCTTCCTCCCCCTCCTCCTCCCTTCCTCCTCCTCCTCCTCCTCCTCCTCCTCCTCCTCCTCCTCCTCCTCAGGAGCCAGCTCAGGGCGATCGACAGGATCAGCCGTGGGCTCGAGCCACGACAGCGAGGAGGGGACCCCAAGCCCCCGCCATAGGCTGTCCTTGGGCTGGGCCCCCCTGGATCCTGGCGTGTGCGGTCCTGGGGCCCCTCGCTTTTCCTGGTGTGGCTTTGTTTTTGTTTGTCCCCCGTTTTGTGCTGAGGTATGTTAGTCCTGCTGGCGTACTCTTGGTTGCCTGCACCCTCCTCCTCCTCGTCCTCGTCGTCCTCCTCCCTCTCTTACCTATGTCGGCCCCTCATCATTGGGCCCCGGGGCGTCGGTGTCGCATGCGCTCTCCTGGCTGGGGCAGGCAGGCGTACACCGTGCACCGATCCGGCGCCAAATGGTTGGCCCGGGGCCCAGGAGCGGAGTTTCTGGGGCCGCGCCTTGGAAGAGTCATATCGCCTGGCCGCGGCGCCCTGCCTCCTCCCTCCTCATCCTCCTTCACCTCCTTCTCCTCCCTCCTCCCTTCTCCCTCCTCCCTTCTCCCTCCTCCCTCCTCCCTCCTCATTTCTCACTCCTCCCTCCTCACTCCTCCTCATCCTTCTCCCTCCTCCCTCCTCCCTCCTCCCTCCTCCCTCCTCGTCCTGCTCCTTCTCCCTCCGCCCCCTCCCTGCGCCCCGCGTGCCTGGCCCCTATCTCGATCCGGGCTCTTCTTCGTCCATGCCGTCGTCGGGCCTCCGACGTCGCGATGTGTTCACAGCGTGCCTCCGTCTCGTTCGACTCGGCCCGTGGAGGCCCCGCCTGGGCGGCGCGCGCGGGGTGGTGGCGCGGGGGGGGGCGGCCCGCGAAGAGGGCCAGGTGCGTCGCGGCAGGCGGAGGCCGTTTTGTGAGGGGCGGCCTCCGAGAAGGCGACTGGGAAGCCGGGGTGGCCGCTGAGAGGCCGCCTGCATTGTCACCCCTCCTCTTCCTTCTCCTCCTCCTCCTCATCCTTCTCCTCCTCGTCCGCCTCCTCCTTATCCTCCTCCTCCTCCTCCTCCTCCTCCTCCTCCTCCTCCTCATCTCCCCCTCCCTCTCCTCCTCCCCCTCCTCCTCCTTCCCCTCTTCCTCCTCCCCCTCCTCCTCCTCCCCCTCCTCCTCCAGACGCTGATCAGAGGACTCGTCACCATTGCCCAGAAGGTCGTACGAGGAGCATGCTATTACATACAGGGCCTAGCAAAAGCGACAGGGACCGTCGGAAGTTGGGCCTCCTACCCACTTCGGCGAAGACGCTTCAAGATGTGGCAACATGTTGTCCGGCATCCAGGCGAGTACAGATGCTTCATTGCTGCATTATTTGCAGTTTCGCCCAGTGACGTCCAACCTACATTCGATTGTGATGGCAAGATGGGCGGTACCGCGCACATATTGGCCTTATAGTGGGCCCGCGATTTCCGGGCCCTTGCATTCGCTTCGCCATTCCGAGTGCGTCGACCCACCTTTGGACCTTTGCAATTAGTTAAATTGCCTGCGTGCCGCGCAGAATTTCTGGAACAGGATGTGGGTATACTGTCATTGGATATGGCGTATTTCGCCAGGGTGCCTCGCTCCTCTTCCATCCACACTTGCAGCAGCAACAGCCCAATCAAGACCAGGAGTACCAACCAGAGGAGCAAAGGGTAGATGGCGTGCCAGAATTGGGCGATGACGGGGAGGAATAATGGGAGTGGCGACTTACGCGTGATGATGGTGCTGGGTGTCACCGACGGTTTGGGAGTACATTGGCGTTGCGGATGCATCACATACATTTTCGCTAGAGAGAGATCACGACGTCAGTGCACTTGCTGCGGCGCTGGGCCCGTGTCAATCAATGCTGTGCGTGCCAGGCGACCTAGTCATCCGCCAGCATTGCGAGACATCATCCGCGAACGAGTTTGCACCGCGGGATGCTTGACGCCCGAGGGGATAGAGGAAGTGAGTGACTTTTGTCATGATGTTATTGTTCCCCTCCCTATTCTTGCCGATTCGAGTCTTCCACGCCCTTGCTGTGGCACCTGGCTTCCCACTTGCCGAACACGTTTCATACTGATGTGGGTGGCTTCCCAGAGCAGCATGGCATACGCGGCATGGACAGCCTTCTTGGGAGGGAGTGCCGCCGAACCCCCGCGGAAGGAGCAGGACGCCAGCAGCGCTGACGACGCGGACAAGATGTGGGAGTTGTTGTCCATCTTCGTGAAATTGCGCACCCAGACGAAGCACACGGTACGCATGCCAATGGCAGTCCTGTTGATTTGCATCCCGGGCAGGGAGATCTTGAGAAGATCTGGACCTTCCTTGCGGTCCACCCGCCGCCCAGAAATCCAGAGGCGGGCCTGCAAGCGGGGAGCTCCAAGAATCCGTCCCGTGTTGCAAGTTGCAGAAGATGTACAACTCCAGCAAAGTGAAGCTTTTCATTCGTGCGCGTCCTAAACACATTGGTTTGGAACTGATCGTGACAAAACACCCCTGGGGCATGACATGCGAACAGTACTTCGGCCAGGCCCCCCGGGAAGCCTTGGAGAGGAAGGCCCAGGACTGCCTCAAGGAACTCAACCTTGATCTGGGTGGCGACTGGTCGGCGCCAGGTGCGCCTGGTGCCTCGGCTGTGCTCGCCGCTCCCCTTTGCGTGCTAGGCCAGGCACGCTCGGTCGGGGTCGCTCTCCTTGGCCTGGGGCCAAAGACTTTCAGACATTAGGGCAACGACCCGATCGCTCTGGGTGGCTCCGGGCGCACGGAGTCCATGCGCAGTTCCGCCTCCTCCGCCTCCTCCTCCTCCTCCTCCTCCTCTTCCTCCTCCTTCTCCTCCTTCTCCTCCTCCTCCTCCTCCTCCTCCTCCTCCTCCTCCTCCTCCTCCTCCTCCTCCTCCTCCTCCTCCCCCCCCGCCCTCTGAGAGGAGGCCGCTCCCCTCAGAGAGGGCGGCTGCCGTCTCTCGGGGAGACGTAAGATTCGAGTGCTCTGAATTTCGGATCCGCCTACGCTTTTGGACGAGCCCGCCCTGGAGTTTGACGGACGGGTTTCCGTGGGATGTCTGCATTTTCCAGAGTGGGTCTCGTCAGTTTCTTGCGGCCTTTCCAGCCAAACCGAGCCCCTCTGACCCGAGTTCAAAGTCTCCCCATGATTCTGCTCCTCCGCCTCCTCTTCCTCCGCCCATCCTCCTCCTGCCCCTCCGTTTCCTCCCCGTCCTCATCTTCCTCCTTTCCCTCCTCCTCCTCCTCCTCCCCCTCCTCCCCCGCCTCCTCCTCCTCCTCCTCCTCCCCTCCTCCTCCTCCTCCCCTCCTCCTCCTCCTCCTCTCATCCTCATCCTCATCCTCATCCTCCTCTCCTCCTCCTCCTCCTCCTCCACCCCTCCTCCACCCGTCTCCTCCTCCTCCCCCCTCCTCCTCTCCTCCTTCTCCTCGTCCTCCCCCTCCTCCTCTCCTCCTCCTCCTCCTCATCCTCCTCCTCCTCCTCCTCCTCCTCCTCCTCCTCCTCCCTCCTCCCCCTCCCTCTGAGCGGCCGCTCCCTTCGCTCCCCACTTCCCCCCCCCCCCCCCTGTCCCCCCCCCCTGTGCGCGCCGCCAGCCTGCGGGGTACGGCGGCCGTGCCTCTGTGGGTCGCTCGATTGGGGCGCGTAGAGAGCCGCGCCTCCTCCTCCTCCCCCTCCTCCCCTCCTCCTCCTCCTCCTCCTCCTCCTCCTCCTCCTCCTCCTCCTCCTCCTCCTCCCTCCTCCTTTGCCTCCTCATCCATCCTCCTCATCCTGTTTCTGTGGCGCCCTTTTCCAGGGCGGCGGCGTGATGGCGCGAAGATAGCCGCGCATCGCGGGGCACGATGCGCTCCGGGTCGCCCCAGGGGGCGCGAAGGTAACCGCGTCTCTCGCATCGCAGCTCGGGCTGAGTCATGCTTGTGTGTCGCCCCTCTCCAGGGCGGCGGCGCGAAGGCGCGACGAGAACCGCGCATCGCGGGGCACGGTGCGCGGAGTGACGGTCAGGAGCGCTTGGTCAGCGTGTGGTTCCGCCCAGTTCTGGCCCACCACGCTTCGGCGCGACACGCTGATCGCGCTCTAGTCCCCAGGCATCAGCTTACCGAGCCTGTCATGTCCCAGTCTCCCGCGACGCGGAGTGGAGCGACACGCTGTCCGCTTGCAGGGCACAGCGTGTCGCTGGGGCCGCCGCGGCGATACGCTAAACAACAGTTCCTGACCGTAGGCGACCTAGTCCCCTGTGCGCGCCGCCAAGCCCCCTGTGCGCGCCGCCAACCCCGGACATCCAGTGCGGCCCCAGAGGTCCCGCGACCCCATCCCTGGGGGAGCAGTTGTTCACCTTAGAGCCGCTCGAGATAGGAGAACTGCCCGAATTAAATCAACTACTCAAACCATCCTTGGGTGTCTGCCGCGCCGTTTTTTCGGGTGCCCCCAGGTGGCGGAGTCCGAGGAGGACGGCAGCACGCAGCGGACGGGCACCGGCGCCGCCGCTCCTAGCTGCGCCGGGGTCTCGGAGGAGACGGTGGCGTTGCTGAGGCAGGTGAACCAGCTGGAGCCTCGGAGAACAAAGCACGGCACGGGCATGCACTCAGATCTCCTACGGTGTGAGTTGTTCAATCTGGGCGTTTCACCTCGATTTCGGCCTCTGAGGCCCCTTTATCGGCCCTTGTGGCTATCAAGAACGAA